TTTTTTTTTTTTTTTAATATAGCATAGCATAAGAAAGATACTATAATTCAGCTCTCAGCAAATACTATTTCTTGTTAATAAAAATGTGAATTAGTCTTTTACCTCATAATTTTAGGGAAAAAGAAAAAGGAAAACATGAATGACTTACCTCTAAATACATAATACTCCAGATAAAGCAACTAAACAAAAAGCTTATTACAATTCTAACAAAAAAACAGAATTCAATGTTATTAAAATTTTTTTTTCTTTTACATCCTATTTAAGGAATATTTGCTCCTGAAGCAAAAGAAAGTCATCATTTACTCATGTCATTTATAAAGTGGTCTCATGATACTCGTTCTGAGGATCAAGTATAAAGTCACAATATACTACCAAATGATATATAAAAATGTTTGTGAACATTTTATGCTTCCTTTAGAAGGCTGATCTGTTAAAACTGTGACATTTTTCTTTAAAAGCAAAAGCAAAGGAGATCAATAGTATTAGTTTATCCTTATATGGATTAAGAAAGTATTTCTGAGTCATATTTAAAAGTCTGCCAATGTTAGATATGTGTATAACTCTTATTTTTCAATGTAGATGGGGCTGAGAAAATGGTTAGTTAATATATGTACCTCAAATGCCTTAAGTGGAATACCTGAGGCATACAAATATAAATGGTACTGTATATTTTTAAAAATGTAAAATAAACACAAAGAGTATATAGGTATACATGTTATAATTTCAAAGTCAACACTAGCACGTAAGTTCTTCTCATCTAAGTACATACTAAGATACTTCCTATTTCAACACATGCATCTACAAACACATGGCCATGCACATAACCACTTGCTTTCTGTCACTTGCAAGAAAGTTTGAATATACAATACTGTACATTGTTTCAACTGAAATCATATTTGAAAATTAATGAGGATGGCATTAAAAAAATTCTAAGAAATCAAAATACAGGAAGATAATTATTCCAAAGATTAAAAACACTGAAGACTGATGGAAATTTAAGATTTAAACTGCATGTCCTAGTGATCTTGAAAGATACAGAAGAGAACAGGACTGGCTGTAAACACTCAGATGCTCTGTTTGGCAATTGGCTTGACTAGAGCTTTTGTAATCTAGCAATCCAGGCTGGACTTAGACCACTGATGCTTCAGATCGCAGAGAAATGGTATAGTTGTAGGCAGTTCTCTGAAAAGCTGAGGGTGCAGATGGAGATCTGGATGCCCATCTGGATGGGAGACGGCGATTTGCTGGTCTAGCAGGTCTGGAAAACCCTTTTCCATATGAACATCTCACTGCCGTGGGTTCCTAAGGGACAAATGAAGACATTCACCTCATATGTGGGAACCAATGATGCGTTTAACATATTACGGATTCCAATCACAGGATTAATATGTTAACATATTTACATGCAAGTAAAAGTGTTGAAAAACTAAAGGTATTTACCTAATATTTTGTGTTCTTGACTGTTTTAATCAAAGTAATTACATTTTAATATGGAATATGGTATTGATAATCTGGTAGATCTCACACTGATGAATTTTAGTACAAGGATCTCTCTGTAGAAATAATTATGAGCTCAGGATTCAAAAAATTTAGATAACTTTGAGGATATGATTGAACCACAGATACTTCTTAGTCAGACATTAAAATGTTTCAGTGTTAAAACAAATTAAATGAATTACGGAAGAAGCTTTGTCCACTTATATCAAGTTACTGACACTTTAAGAGGTTATAAGCAAAAGGACACAAAATGATTAATCTGATGCCATCTTTTTTTCCCCACTAATAATTCTTTCAATGAGTGAAACATTTTCTTCCCTATTCTTTCCTTTTCTTTTTTCTTTTTTTTAACTTTAATGGAAGAAAAGCATTATCTGATCTTTGCAATAAAAAAAAAAAAAAGCTTCCATAACACGTTTTATACCCTTGGTTCTTCTTATCGACTCTTTTAACAAAGCCTGTGCTCGTTCATCTGAGATGGGCAATGAGGATGGTCTCTATTTCTCTTATTTTGATTATGGCCTGACACTGACAGTAACCTGCATTTTCTTTTTTGCTCTATGGAGACTTATTTTTTTTTTTTAGATTTGTTCCTGGGGGGAAAAAAGAATAACTACTTCTAGGGAGCTACAGTAAAGGACTCTCTCCACTACCACCCCTAATCAATGCAAGAAGAGGAAACATTTAGTAACATTGCTTATTAGTTTATAATTGTGGCTGGTTAATGTATTTATATTTCCGTTTCCCATCTCCAGCTATAAGGCCTTACAGGTATTTATGGGCTCAAATAGAAAAACAGAGAAATACAAAGGCAGGGTAATTATTTGTATCCTGTGCAAACAGGCAAGGTTCTGGTAAAATGGAAGTAGACTGATGTTTTTGCAAGGTTTGAAAATCACCTTTTTTTTTTTTTTAACACCAGAAGGAGGCAACCTGCATAGCTTAAAACTATGCTGCATTCATACTGTATCATGTAAAGCTAGGACTTTTGAAGCCTTGGCTATTAACAGTAATCATCATCATCATCATCATCATCATCATATACTGCCTATAACTTTTATGTTATGTTCTTAAAAATTATATGCATAAAAAGGAACTGCTAGATAGTTCTTCACTATAAGTACCAATCTCTTTGCACTTCCTATATCCTATAACTAGTTAAGATTATAGTATTTTATAAACAGACTGGAATGAAAAGATACCCATGTTTATTATTTTTTTAGGCAATTTATGTGCTAAAATACATATACAAATAAGAATGACCTTAATTTTTTTAAAGTATAATATTGTGTTTTCTTTCCATTGCACTTTCAGTTCCTACAAATAAGAGAACTTTATAAAGCACTATTTTAAAATTATGTCATTTACTCATATTCACATTACTGTGACTAATCCTATGAGAATATTGGGAATGACTGAACCAATCAAACATAATTACTGAAAAGTACAAGTTATTTAAAAAATATTTTCTACAGATTTTTCTTAATATGAACACTTTAAAAGAATAAAATTCTATAAACCAACAAATGCACATTCTGATATTTTTTTCAAGAAAACACTTACAAAAAACACTTGATCTTTTTGACATTCTTAAGCCTATTTATTATAGTTAAGTTATTCCATTAAAGTTCATGTTGAGTTACAATCCTAAGGTTTCTATTTATTCACAAATGAAGGGTCAAGAAGTTTAGAAGATGCCAAAATATGTGCCTATATTCTATTTATATGATTGGGCAACTGACTGAACTCTCAGCAACTGCTAAACATGGATATAATTCGACCAAAATACTGTTGTTTACGTTCTCACCTCTGTTATCTTTTTCCCATCTATTCCTTTCTTCACTTGCTGAGCCCCACACATAGCTGTCTTTCGCTGAAGTTCTTGTTCCATTTGGAGCATTTCTAAGTGCTGACTTAATGTGGTCCCAACATTGACATTAGAGTTAGATTTAGTCCAATTATCTTGGAAGCACTTAGAATTCTGCAAGGCAGACCCTGCTGATGTCTCATAGGTTTTCAACAGCTTTTCCACAACACCATAATTTGACTTAGGATCAGCTGACCTTGGACGGCCAGACAAATTACTTGGTCTCCAGTCATGTTCGTGGAGCATATTCCGATAACTGCTAGGACTTAGGTGTTCCTGCATTTGTCTTACTTGGCCTGTTGAGAATATTTTGGTAGGATTATCAGGCACATTTTCGGTGGGCGTAGGCACGTGGACACTGGTTTTCAGAATACCAGACACATTGTCATTTTCTGATATGTTACCTGCATGAGTAATTAAGGTATCACAGGGCTTAGGATCTTCAGATGATTTTGAGTGGCTTTGATTTTGCTGTATTGCATGACAATTTCTATCTGTTCTAAATACAGTTCTGTTAAATTCATCAGTCTTTGCTGCTAGCTTTTCATTCCTTGTGGTCGTTTCAAAGCTGCAACTGAAATTTGTAAGTTGGCCACTGCTCTGCACCACTGAGGAGCTAAAGTCATGGCTGACATGAAGACTAGGATGAGATTTGGCAGGATGATTTGGGATCACCTTTTCATATTTTGCCTTACTGGGGGTAGAGCAGATTTTCTGAAACCACAATGTGGAAGGACTATTTTTTGCACTTGTCCCAATGCCGCATGACCACATGCTAAGACCAGTATCTTCACTGTATGGAGGCTTGTTATCTATTTTGACTTCTGGTGCAAAAGAAGAAAATATGACACCATCTTTCAAAGTCTTCCCTTCCTTTGGACACAACATAGGCATCTCATGCTGCCTCAAAAGGAAATGAGGATTGCAGTTCTTTTCACTTTGACTCTCTTGAGCCACCCAACTGCTGTCTAAACTTTCCTTCAACCCTTCATAGGCTGCTATACCTTCAGAATATGAGCTTGGTAGATTTCGAGATGTGCTTCTTGGAGGCGGAACTGGTGGAATTTCATTTCTTTGCAAATCAACTGTGTCAATTCCATGTTTTTTCACAGAATTGCTTTGGAGTACATCCTCATAGTTCAGATTCTTTCTATTTTCCTGTTTTTCTTTTTCTAAATCAACTGGAAGAACGCACTGGTCATTGTTGATCATGTGGTTCCCGTGAGGCATACTTATTACATTTGGCATGTCTCGGAGAGAAGAGTCAGACATCATCCTAAAAAATTATAAAACATGGTATATTAGTGATCACTGTATTTATGATAAGCTCTCAAAAGACATCGTGGCTTAAGCAATGGATTTCTGCTATAGGAAAAGGAGTCACAACTTCCTCAAACCTAATTTTAATATAAATTTCTGATTCAACAGCTCCAAGTCCCTTTTATTACAGGACAAAGCCTACTTCTCATTGTTGTATTCAATACCCTACTTACTCTGATCCAAACTATCTTTCAAAGCTTGTCTCAATTTTCCATTATCTAAATCTTCACTTACACTCAGACTAGACTATAAGTGTTTTGGGTTTCTACTATTTGGCATGACCATTTCTATAGGTTTTCTCTTGCCATTCCTTACCTGAAATGCCCACTTACCTCCTCTCTGCCTGCTGAATTACCATCCATTTTGTAAGGTAAGCTCAAGTTTGGCCTCTTTATTTTGAAATAACATTTAAAGTAGTATGACATAAATCTGAATAAAAGTGCAATGATAAATGAGTAATTCCAAATGGAAAGCGTCATTTGGGCTAGGGTTTGAAAGAAAACTAAGACTTTCCTGGATGAATAAAGAGCAGACAGGCAAAGTGAACTGTAAAGACTGATAATGTGGCTACTCAAGGGACAATGAGTACTTTGGTGTAGATGGATTATAAAGCAGAATGGGGAGGAAGACGAGGAATAAGAGTGATACATTAGGTCAGTGTCAAATTATCATGTCTTTGAATTACATTTTGGGATTTTGAGCTTTTTTTCTAAAGGCCATGAAATGACAGCAAGAGCTTTTTACCAGGTATGATTTGTAGAACGAAACTGGCAAGTCTTTTCTGAGTTATCTAAATAAAAACCTAAATATACCCACAATGTGGATTCACAAATAAAACTTAATTAGTCATATTGATTTATTTATATCTCTTTAACGTATAAAAGATTATGAAATCGTTTATAACAAAGTAGAGGGAGATAAATATCCACTAACAGACAACTAACAGAGAAAAGCAGCAAATACTAAATGGGGGACAACAGGGAAAAATGATGTATAAATCAAGGTTGGCTAAGAAAATCTATTGTAAATAAGCACAAAAATTCCCTCTGAGCTTCCTAATAGCTAAAGAAAAATAAGGAGAAACATTATTATGTCTTTCATAGAGAAGCACTATAAGCACTATCTCCCCACTAGGAGATAACTGGTGATCCTAGAACAATCCATTGTCACTTAACTTGTATAGGGAATTTCAAATATATATGTATTTAATTTGGTTAAAGCTTACTCTTACAGTTACATAGTGTTTCTGAATTGAAAGAGCATTCTCTGTGACATCATTTATATGTGTGTACATATTTACAATATGTTGTTCTACTGAAAATTATGTATGGTTCCAGTACATACTTAACCAATGTATAGAGGTAAATGACTTTTGGGCATAAAATATTTCAGTAGAACATCATTATATAATTAAAACACTAGATTGTTAAACCTGACATTGTTTAAAGTGTACTTAACTTGATTAGCCCAGTTGTATGCTCTTCTACTGGACGAATACTCAAAATGAAAAAGAACCACGTTAGAGGATACTTGTTAATTTACTATGGAGGGTCTACCTTAACTGAACACCAAAGTGTAAAGTGTTACTAACAGTCAAACTGCAAAGAGAATTGGAAGATTTGTGTTAGGGAATCAGTAAACATAGAAAGATACAATTGGAGTTTCTGTAACACATTTTTATAACTCATTGTTAAGTACCACTAACAAAGTTTATATAGGAGGCAGTTTGGATTCCTTAACTAAAAACAATATTCTTCTTGATTTTCCAACATCAAGTAATCATACAGATGTACCAGCCTACCTTTTGTGGGTCGACCGCTTTTGAATTTCCTCTTGAAAGCTGCATAATTCTTCACTAACTTTGGCAAGTTCTTCAAGAGCCTTTATGCATATAAGCAATAGCATGTTAGCACTTTGAAATGTAAATATTTCTTTAGAAACAATTCTAGGCCAGGCACATCTTACTTACTGTATTGAGTGCACCAGAACAGCTCTTGCTTTCTTTCTCAGAGGTCCTCAGGTCAGGCCAGGCTTCACATTCCTTTTGGTTGTCTGCAGCCAAAGGATCCATAAACCCTACTTTTGATACTTGTCTTGCTTTTTGTTCCTTACACATTTGATCTCCTCCAGTGAGTAACCTCTGTTCTGTTTCATTTTCTTTTTCGAGACCAAGTTTGTGATTCATCCCTATAAATTCACATTGTCCTGAAATGGGGTAATCTGGAGAAGAGTCTACCATTTTGTCTTGAAGGACCTTCTCACAATCAAGATCAATGGTCTTAGCACGTTCATTCATATTGATTTTCCTCCGAAGCTTTACTTCTTGGCAAAGCTGTAAAAAAAATAAAGATAAAACTTTTTTTCTAATTCACTATATTTTTGGTACTAAGCGAACGGTTTTGAGTTTTCTTTGCCATATTATTATATACTACCCTGGGTGTTAATGCTTAAACCAAACCAGTTGCCACTGAGTCAATTCCAACCCATGACAACCCCATGTGTGTCAGAGTAGAACCTGGCTCCAAAGGTTTTCAATGGCTGATTTTTCAGAAGCAGATCACCAGGCCAATCTTCTGAGGAACCTCTGGGTCAACCTGAACCTCTAACCTTTCAGTTAGCAGCTAAGCATGTTAACCATTTACACTACCTAGGGACTCTCAAAAACCAGTCGCCATTGAATCGACTCTGACTCATGGCAAATCCATATATGTCAGAGTAGAACTGTGTTCCCTAGGATTTTCAATGGCTGATTTTTCCTAAGTAGATTGTCAGGCCTTTTTTCCAAGGTACATCTGGGTGGACACGAATCTCTAACCTTTCAGTTATTAGCTGAAGCATTAACTGTTGGCAATACCAGATACTTATGCCTCCAAATAGAGTCTCTAAAATCAGGTTAGCTGGAACAACTTTGATGAACTGTAAGACTACTTTTAGTGGGACAAAGTGTGGATGGTAACTTGTACCTTTCTGACTAGAAATCAACTCTCAAAAATAAAATAAACCTGTTCCTATATATGGAGCCCTGGTGGCACAGTGGTTAAGAGATCGGGTGCGAGCCAAAAGGTCGGCAGTTTGAATCCACCAGCCACTCTTCGGAAACCCTATGGGGCAGTTCTACTCGTCCTATAGGGTTCCTATGAGTCTGAATCAACTCGACGGTAAGGGTTTTTTTTTTTTTTTGGTTGATTCCTATATATGGATATTATGATACAGAAGCACAAAACTGAAATGACCTGAATCAATAACTAGCCATGATCTCTAGTTGCTTTCAGAGAGAAGGTTTCACTAAGTCATTTTTTTCAATATATGACCTTATGTCTACGCCATCATTTAACTGTCTGAATAGTTGACAACCTCATTTAGTAAATCAGCTCATTCCATTCCCAAAGTAGACATTTTACAAGCAAAGGAAACTTTGAGAAGTTACGTTGATCAAGGCTAAATATCACTGAGATTATTTTTAATGCCATGGCTATATACATTCTTGTCCAGATTGAAACAAATGTGACAACGTCCTATGTGATATAATAGAATTCTACATAATAGAACTCTAAGGCTTCCTTCTTGACTAGATAGATCGCAATTATGCCTGCAGGCACTCACTCAGCTCACCACTAAATAGACAAGGAGGTGGTCTTCAGAGTTCCTGTCAAATTTCAAGACAGATGGTTAGATAACTATTAAAGCAAATCACTCTATATTTAATGGCCACAATCAATATCTGCACTACAAATACAATTCAAGGAATATCAGATTTATTGCTGTTCAGTATTTACTCAAATCTCAAGAAAGAGAAACACTATACACAGTTAATGCCTGGAGGATACATGTCCATTTATTTCTTAGATACTTATAAATCTATCATTAAGTCAGGATAGCCTCAAACTACAGCCCTGAATCAACTGTTTAGGCCCCTGTAAAACTATTTTTATGAATTCCTTTGGGCATTATGATTTTCACTGACCTTGAGAGATATTATAAGAAACAGCCCTAAAAAGTATCATGTTAAGTATAAGGATGTTGTTGGTGATATTGTGCTTTTTTTTTTTTTTTTTTTTGAGGAGCCATGGGAAAAAACAAAATTGCTTTAGTTTCAAAACCAAAGAGAAAAAAGTGCTATTCCTGGGAAACAGGTTCGTTTTTGTCCCCTGAATACTGAAATATAGACACCTGATAAATTTTGTGTGCTGCTCTAAAGCTTAGACTCAGCACATGCATTTCACATACTTTCCTTCCTCTTGTCTTCATCTCATCTTTTTATTTTTGTTTTTGCATTCTTTACCTTATATGTAATTTTGTATTCCATCTTAAATTCTTTTGTGAACCTAGGTAAGGTTAAAATAAATAATATAATATTTGTGCTGGAAAACCACCTATTTTGTATAAGGGAATCTGTGTTACCAGGTAGTCAGCCATTGTCAATGGTTATCTAATCATTCCACCAAAGGAAAGAAGCAGGAATGAGTACAGTGTGACACAAAGTTCCCAGACATCTATGAACTGTATCCAGAGTTTCTATTTGGATTATTCCAGGTTTCAAATGATCCAAGTATGTACATCTTAGTTTTGCAATAGCAAATGCAATGACTGTGGATATCAGCTGACAGAGAATCCTAACAGTCTTAATACTCAACACTGGATTCTCTCACTAGGTGATATTATCACTTGAAATCACTTAACTTATATGTCTGCACCTGGGTATCTAAAATTCCCTAATACATGGCTTAATAATTTGCATCTGATTTAGTACATACAACTTAGTGATAAATATTATACACATACAGTCTATTGTGCTTGCGGCATGATATAATTTTTCTAAGTGTTGAGTTCTTAATTTTAGCTTTTAAAAATGGATTCTTCCTGTGACATGGGAAGATACTTTCCTTCTCTTTTTTTAGTCTTTTTAACCTCCAGCTTTGTAGCCTTTAAGAAAGTACCTTCTAAACATGTTTTAAAATATACAACACATATGTTAATACATAAATAATCATATATATATATCTATAATTAACATAAGAGGAGCACAGTGCTGATATTCAGGGATTGTAGAGCATCACCTAGGGGCATTCTGGGTAAATACATTATCTGTATATTCCCAGCTATGGAGCTGTATACTCAGGCACTATTCAGACAGCAAGACATGAAAAGCACCACAACTATGCAAGATAAAGAAAATATTTCTTCATTGCAATCCTTCTGTTTCCCTGATGTGGAAAATAATGAGTCTTAAAAAGGACAGTATCTATATGAACAATAATCCTGTTTAAAGTATGTTTAATGCCTGCTAATTGATAGGGTCATTACAGGATCACTATGAGTCTGAACTGACTCAATGGCAACTTTTTTTTTTTTTTTTTTTGGTTAATTGGTAGAAATAATATTTACTATACATGAAATCTATAGAGTTGTCAGAATAAATATTTGACTATATAAAATTTAATCAGACAGCTTGGATGCTAGAATTCTGTGAGACTGTTACTAACTGAATGTCCCAGACTTTTGGGAGCCAATGACCCATGACTAGACATCAGTTTATGATTGAAGTAGAGTTCAGATTCTGATTTGACCTAGGTATCTCCTTGTTGATCCAATATGAATATCTGGGCAGAGGAGCTAAAGGAGTAAGCAGGAGCTTGCTCCTTTTCCAAACTATAGATGGCTAAGAAATGAATTCTCCCAAGCAAAAAGTTACATTTCTTTGCCTTTCAATCTCTAATCGTATACAACATGCTTACCTTCTTCGTTCTATTTTAGAGGAAGGGCTTAATAGATATTCCTTTTTTTTTTTCCTTTTAGCATGCCAATTTGTATTTTATTCACAAGCAATTACATGGGTGTTAATAACAAAAAATATGTGTGCTATAAACACATAAGGTACATGCTGTGATTGTCTGTGAATAAAGGCCAAAAAGTCTATTAAAACAAACACTTTGGTAACATGCATAAACCCGCAGAAGTCAAAACTATGGCTTGTTACCAGGAGAATGCAAGATAAGTATAAATAATTTTCAGTTGGAGCAAACCTGAGTATACACTAACGCAAATGCTTGAAGGAAATATTCCAGGCCTGACAGACTGGGGATGGTTAATGGAGATAAAAGGACTATTTGTGTCAGAGTTATGGCATGTCATTTTTCATAATCCCTTCCCTAATAAATGCACCAATAAATGTAGCACACCTTGCCAGAATAAATCTCATGTCCAGTGCCACTGTGTTTGATATATGACACTCCTTTTGATTATACCGAGTTATCTAGCATGTAATTTCCTTTAGAAGACATTATTTATAAATCACCTCAGGAAAGGAAAGATCTATATTTTAATGACCAATTGTAATTTCACTATTATATGTTCCACCAATTAAGTCTTACTATCTTGAGTTTTCCTCCTAGGCCCTGGTGTTTTTAAAACTCATGCAAAATACATACCTCATTTTTGTTATCAAGGCTCTCTGGCCATGAAATAATAAATTGACACATTTTGGAATGACAATTCAAGTTCTTAATTTCTATGTGAGGCTATAAAATAAGCATAGGTCTTAAGCACCATTGGCTAAGGTTATGATATTTTTGGATTAGTAAATATTACTAAGACATGCCCATATTAGGTTGAATTAAAAATATATATATAAAGTTTCCAATACAAGACTAACTTTAATTTTCATTCTGAGGTTGACATTTACAATGCATTCAAAACAAATCAACTTGTACCTCTTCTATCTTCTTCTGCATGATCTTCCATTGACTTTCCCATTCCTTTCTTTCAGTGTCAAACTGGTCCAGTAATTCCATCTTTTCCTTGTGCCAGCTAGTCTCTGTGTTCTCCCACTGCTTAGGAAGGTCCATGGCAACGGTGTGAGTGTCAGTGAAGAGGTGTTTCTGCTCGTCTCTGCCTTCTCTTAACTGTTTCTTGGAAGCTTGGAGTTGTTTTATTTGAAGCAGTCTCACTTGCCTTTAAAATAAAGCCTAATGTAAACATAACAAAAGAGAGTTCCAAACCCATGTGCTTTCTGGAAACATATTTTATGATTTTGTCAAGAGCCATTCACATAAACAAACTCTAGGAAAACTGGACTCAAAAGTAAGAAGTGATACTGATCTGCTTAAAAACAAGAAACACACACAGTCAATAAATAAGTATTGCCAAAGTATTTTTTTTCTTCTCTTCTTTCTGAGACCAGACAGAAAAATTATAGTGGACAAGATGATTAAATGCATGTGTGAGATATACGTGTACCTTTAATTAACCACTTCATCTAATTGTTTTTTTCATGAATATCTAAGAATGGAAGTACCGAATTTACATGGTCATGTTTACACAACTATGGCAGATTCTGCTGCAACTGAATTACTCTTTCTGTTCTGATGCAACGTGATTATATATTTCTGTGACTTAATGTCCTGAGCCAGTGCTGGACTATAGTTGCAATTCTATATTCAGAGACCATACCCATGCCAAAATGATTACTGTAACAACTATGACTCCAAGGTTGGTAGTCACTCTGGGACTGATGTATCAATAAGAGATCACACTAAATTATAAGAAATATTTTCATTACTTTACTTCATCAAATAAAATCTGAAAACATCAAAAACTATCCTGTGAGTCGTATGTTAAATTTTATTCATGCTCTCTGTTCCTTCTTATGGGCTATATACCATAATCTGTTGAGGCTATCAGAGTTCAGAGAACAGAAAAAGAACATATGACTCAGCTGACAGGGAAACCCTCTATTATATTAAATAGTAACTGGAATAATTAGATTTCCAGCATTCAAGGTATGTGTATTAGGGTTTGAAGATGCAGTATAAATATCAGGTCTATAACTCTGTTATAAGTCACCTAAACTTCCTGAGTTTTAGTTTATTTACATTAAAAAGGGGATATTCACAAGGTT